ACACACACGTTCACATCCGCAGGAGCGCTTGTTGGTTTTTAATTTTATAGCCAAACAATATGCTTACAGATTTCGTTTGCAGTTTTTATTAAAAATCGATTGGCACACGTTCGCAGATGCGAAACATCCGAATGCGAAAAATACATGCACTTGAAGCATCCATCGGTGTGCAGCGGGTTAGCAATAATACCCGTTTGGCTTGTGGCTTTGCAACTTTCCCATAGATACATGTATATACAGATACTCGTATATGTGTGGATATGTATCCATGTACATGGGTATGTGATATCCTGTAGCCGAGGATGAACCATTGCAATGCGAGTTGGTGGGAGTGGCAATAAAGTATAGCATTGCCCGTGTATATTGACATGTCCGTGCTCAAATTAATCATGGACTACCCGTGAGATATGTTTGTATGTGTGGTGGTGGCACTGCAATTGCAACTGCAGAAGTCGCAGGACTATAGGTATTCGTTACTCCAACAAGTGTATTAGGACTTGGCAGTTTTTGCAACGTTTCTTAGCAACTTTTTGTTGGGCTTATAGCCTTGACATTCGGTTTTATCCTTGAGTAGAGTGAGTAAAGCAACTTCTACTTTAAAGTTTTATTCTAGTACTTTTCTGAAAGCTATATATGTATACTGTGCTGTTGCTTAAACATCTTGCACTTTGCTGTGCACGCATTTCCTCCACTAATATTTATTTTTCTCACTGGATATGTGGATGTACATACGGATATGCAACACCCACTGCAGATTACCAAAGTCGCAGCTAACATTTTTTTCCCAAAAAAAAAAAAAAAAAAAAAAAAATGGAGAAAGGAGTAGGAGAGCTGGTGGAAAAGGAGTATGAAAAAATGGGAAACTGTTGCAAGTGTGCTAAAGTTTCATGCTTCATTGGATGCCGACGCCCGGGGCCATTTTCCCACCTCCCAACCCATCTCCAGATGATTCCCATTCGCCGGGATCCTTGGAGCCCGTTTTCTTGGCGGCAACATCGGGGCACGCGCTCTCCAAGAACAATCAAATTTGCAACGAGCTGCTCCGGGTGTAATATTCCGGACGAGCCAGTCAGACATGTGGCCGTGCTCCTTGTGTATCCCCCTGCTCCTCCTCCAGCTCCTCCAACGCCTGTGGCACATCCTGCTGCACCGCATGCAATGATGTGGATGTGGGTGGCACTTTCATAATCGAAACACTCGAGCCAGCCGGAAAGAAAGCCAAAAACCGACGCTGCTCCTGGAGCTTCGAGCCCATTAAAGCCGTAAACGGGGCATTCGAAATTTAAAAGGGAAACTCCCCCCAAACCGCCATTGTCTGCAGAGGAAGGACTGGAGCACACATATGCTTAACGCTTACTTTTGGGACTGACTGTATGCGGTACATGGTATATGGCCCGCCGGATGGATCCCCTTTATAGTTGGCGGAGCAGGCCTTAAACGGTGGTTTCCCCCCGCTTCCCCGGCTCCATTTTTATTTGCATATTTTAATGCAAATTGTGCAGAATTAATTTAGTGCTGTTTAGTCTCGAACTCGAACTCGAGACCCGACCCCAGATCCCGGTTTCCGCAGATCCACCCCATCTCCTCCAGAATTTAACACACTTTCCCTGTGTGTATGTGTGTGTGTGCTTGTGTCGCGTGGGTGGTTTCGTTTCATATGTAAATATTCAAGTTTCAAGTTATTTTGCCCTCAAGTTCGTCGTCGTCTCCATTGTCGTTTTACTTTATTGTTTATGCCCGAATTGTGTTCGAGGAGCAGTGGAGTGTGGCCTAGTTTTGGGTTCAAGGGACAATGAATGTGCGAAAAATATTTTATGAGCTATATTATGTAAACCGAATTTAGTTTTCCATTTCTCCGTCTTTGTTTGACATTATTTGGGGCCCATTGTGCAAGTTTGTTGGCCCAACATTTTGAAGCCATTCGCATTGCCCGTGAATGAATGAATGAAGCAATTCGGACACGAATTCGGTTTGGGAAATCTTCAAGTTCCATAGAAAGTCTCATTAGCCGGCCTTCAGGAAGCCCGCTTGAATATTCATGCGTGAAGATGCGACAACCCAGAGAATTATTACAGGGAATTGCATAAAAAATGTTGCTCACGTACAAAGGAAATGAAATGAAATGAATTTCTGAGCCGTCCCTCACTTTGCTCGCTAGTTATCTCTGGCTTCGTTTGCCCTGGTCCCGCTTTTTCCGCTCTTTTTTTTTTCTCTTTTTTTACATTTGTTTTTCTTCTATTTTTACGGGCGAAGAATGTGCAGCTGGTGGCGCGGTAGCTCTGGGAAATTTATGCTGATCATTCATAATGTCAAAGACGCGCGGCAAAGGATAAGGGGCTCTGCTCCAGGACCTCGGACTAGGCTCGACCCCGGCGCGAGAATGAATGGCCCAGGTCAGGGCAGGACCACAGATAGCTTGGCCCAAAATTTGGTTAACCCCCCACGGCCAACGTTGCGTATGAGCAACATTTTTGGTTGTGTGTCCACACTGCGTATGGCGAATTTTTCATTTAACGTGTGCAACACTTTCAATTTACTTAAGCCTTACATTTTCGGCCTATAAATGCAAGTGCATGTATAGTTTTTACTTAAATGGATTGCTACAAGTTTACTATAACAATCTGATTTTCCCAAAGAGTGCTTCAATCCGCAAAGGGAAAAATCCACTTTTACTGATTCGCTTTCGGGGACTTCTAATCACCACCGCATTATCAAATGGTTCGGGGCAAGGGGAAAATCAGGTGGGGGGACGCGAGAAAAGAGAAAGTGAGTTCCCATTTATGGCTAAACAAATGCCAGGAGCTGCTTCCCCAGCTTCTGGCCAAATTATTTATATGGAAAGCGAGTACTGTCGCCGAGTCGGGGGAAATCAGTAAAGCAAAGCAAAGCAAAGCAAAGCTGAGCAGAGCAACAGAAACACGAAAAACGGTGCACAATAAGAAGGGAAAATCAATTTCCGCTTTCGAAATAATTCCAAAGCCATACAAAAGCCGGGGATCCAAAGCCGAGGCTGAGCTGCGACTAAAGCCAAAAGGAGCAGAGATGAACGCAAAAAAGTTGCCATTATCCTGTGCGGCAGCGACAGCGGCAGCGAGATAAGATATTTGCACAAGAATGGCATTCAGTTGATAAAATCCGATTTGAAAATGAGCGAATGCCTGGCAATGAGCAAGACACGCGGCCTCGGAGGCCAGGAAGCCCTGCCAGAACAGGATGAAAAAAATCGAAGGACACGGAAACAGGACTCGAACCGAGCTGAAACAGAGAGCAAAGCGACCGGTTGGGATAACAATTTTATAAATAAATATTTGTGCACTGCTCGCCGACTGCTGTCTCTTTCCGTCTCGTCTCGCTTTTGAACTCAACTATCGGGCGATAAATCATTTGAAGTCTCCAACACCATTGGCCCGGTGACAATCTCTGCCGGACGGACGTACTCCCTCCATCTTCCAGCTTCCAGCTTCCGCCTCCCGGACCCGTTCTTCACGCACTTTTGGGCCCGTAAATCTGTGCCCGAGAGGAAGACAAAACAGGAGGAAGAAGAAAAAAAAAACGAAAGGAGGGAACTGTTCAAGTAGAGAAACGGAAGCGTGTCTCCGTCTGATAGCCTCAATGACTTCCGTTCCTGGCGTTTAATGCTTTTTAATGAGTTGCTCCTGCAAATGTTTGAGGACATCGACAAGGACGTGAATGTGGACGTGGATGTGGATGTGTACATGGACATGCACAGCTTAATCGATTTCATTGTCGGCTAGCCGAGGTCTCAGGTCAGGAAATTGCTCAAGTTCCCCGAAACTCTTAAACTTTAATTTGGTTTCACAATTTATAGCATACCTTTTGGGGCAGTTTATTGCGTTCGAATGTGTTCGTTGCGAGAGATATGATTATGAGTTGTAAAATGCTCCTCGAGTTGAACTTAAATTGGGTTCTTAAAGTAAATAGTGGTAGAGATTGCCTAAATGAAATGTTTATATTCATCCCAGCAGCAATCTCTAAAGAATTTATTTAAACGAAAATATTTTCTTCTGTGAATCTGATTTAGAGAGCACCTATAGATTGATGGCCTGCCCTGTGAATCCCGATTTGAGTATTGTGTCCAAATCGTTTTCGGACGACAGTTTAGAGTTCTATTGGCCCGGCTGGAGCTTGAATCTACTCTGATTACTTATGCCGGTCAGGTAAGTCCTGTAAAAATTGTCTCCTGCGTCTCGTTTTTCGTCGCGGTGGTGTCAGGACCTGGTTTTCAGCCCGACTTGGCGGAGTTGGCCAGCGCAGTTGATTTGTTGGCTGGGCCTTAAAGTGAGGCTTTAATTTGTTTTGGCCAACGGTAGTGGTGCGATTTGCTCAGAGCGCGGCCATATGTCTTGGTTGCCAGGGCGCGGGACCAAGTTGAATGCCTGGGGCCGCGGGTGCTTGGCTTCCTTCCTGGGCCCTGGACTCCACTCCACTCGCTACGCCCGACTCCACCCACCGCCTTGACAAATGAGTGGCCCAAAGGTCGTTGCTAGGGTCGCGATGGCCGCTGCTGTGTTATTTTTTTTTATTATTTGTTTATGCGCTGCCCGTCCGCCGTTCTGGTCTATTGAAAAATCTTTCTTCTGGCGGGGGAAACGCGAAACGCCGAAGGAGCAAGTAATGCAGGAAGATAAACAAGTAGCCGCAAATGGCCAGGACGACGGCTCCTGACCAGTACCACTTCGGGGCCACGTTCTCGGCCAGGACCTAACAAATTGTGGGCAATATTTTCATTTCATCAGGAGTGTCCTTGGAGCGCCTTGGGGCCCCATCCCCCATCCCCCCATCCACAGAGTTGGCAACTTTATTGCATTATTGAAAAACTTGTCAAAATATTTTGAATGTGTAGAAAAGCTCTTGGCTCTTATTAAATTTACCCCTCCACCCCCTCGGCACACATAATTGTATGAAAATATTGTATTTCAAGAACGCACGAGACATGGGCCATATCTCTTATTATTATTGTGTTTATTTTCAGAACTTACCTCGGACGACGGCACTTGGGAGTGTGCATTTTTAAGCGACTGGCTTTGTGTGGCTCCGGTGATTGGAATTGCTCATGGTTTAATTAACGCAAATGGCAATATTAAAATTTTATGAATATCATATTTTATGCAAGTAAGGAATTTTAACAGCAACAACGTGGATGGCCGATGCTTTTTTGCGAACTCATGTTTGGCCATCAAGTGAATTCGTTGTGGTTTAATTAAAATCCTGTTGATCCTTGCTAGATTCGTACCGTGTGTGTGTGTTTTTTTTGCCGGTGGAACTGCAAGGAAAATGTGAAATATTTATTTATTAAATATTATGTTTTTGATGCATAGAAGTGTTTTTATAACGTGTGGCTTCGGTGAAGCCGAATGCGTTCAGTCAGCTGCTGAATTAATTTACAAAATTGCATAAAAATTCCTAATAAAATGCCACAATTCCACTATTCTGCAACTTAGACAGTACATTGATTATTTCAAATATCAAAGATCTGTGCACCCCTTGTGTCTTGCCTTTCAATTCGATGCATGCAAGTTCTAAAGTGAAATTCTATGCACCCCAAGACAAGGTGGTTGCCCATTCTGATTCCCATTAAAGGTGGGTTTCCATTTGTTTCCATTGCAGGGCTGTCCAGCACAAGAAGAGCATCTAATTGATGGCCGAACCGGACGGATCCCTCGGCCAGGACCTCTCTGTCATGGTCATGCCGGCTGCCGTGTAAAGTAATCCAGGATCCACGTTTTATTTTCAGAAATAATGATGCTCATGCTGGGAATAATGGGTACATATTGATGAAATTTAATACGTCGAGAAAAGCTCAATTTGCTCGTTGGCTAAGCGGGCTGCGATGGTGCAGCGCAATTCGCATCAAATTTCCAATTAAACAACAAATTCTAATTTATATTGCGCAAGCTGTACGCTTTTGTTTGTTTTGTTTTGTTTTGGCTTTGTATCTAATTCATAGTAAATTATTTGGGGGTAATTATTTTGCGGCTGGCTATTAAATATCTCTGACATGCCATGGCGCTGTTTGTTTGATGTCAGACAATTGTTTTCGATTCATTAGTATGAAATTCGTTTCTCTTTTTCGCAGTTTCCCACTTTCGCCGTCGTATATTTAGTGCCATCCATTGTGCTCTGTTGCGGCGCGTAATTGAAAATGTGCTGCCTAATTAGTAAAAGGATTTCAGCCACATTTCCCCCCCTTCCCCGTTCCCCCGTCCCCCGTCTCCCGTTTTCCTGTGTAAATCAATAGCCGTCGTCGATGTCAGTTCTGTCAGGATGCCAACCGCCAAAATGTATCTGCACATGAGTGTCTATTGTGTGAAAATGCGCATATGGCGCTGGGTGGCATATAAATGTCGCAGTCAACGGCACAAATTACACATTTTAAAATCGAAATCGAAGGAGCAGGCTAGACTAGAGAGCTCCCTGCTTTGGCTTCCTTACACTTCCAACTCACTTCATACTATACTATACTATGATACTATGATTTCCATCACATTTCTAAGCAAGTTCCAAGGACTTATAATTGCTATATAGTTGCTCAATCTGCGACTTGGCTCAGCTGTACTGCACTAATTGTCCAGGGTACGTTGAAGTCTGGTTCCATTCCGAAGCTTTTCTTATAGAGACCTTCGAAAGCCCATCAGTCGAGCGAGAGTCACGCACATTTTCACACCCCAATTTCGGCACCCGTTTCAATGGCAATTTCTATGCGCATTTTTCTATTATTTATTGTTTTTATTCGGCTCCGAACGAAATGGAGTTTTTGGGTGCGGTTTTTGGGAGTTGGGTCATGTCGTGCTGACATTTGCCATTGAATTCGTTTGGAGGCGCAAAGGAAATTAGCCACGTTTTTATTCCATTTGCATGCCGTGCTGAATCAAAATGATATTCATTTATATATGCGAATGTATCGGCAGTGCAATAATAATTCCCCTGATTTGCAATAATAACATTACCGCCTGTCGCATAAATTATGCTTCAAATGAGCGGGCGAAAACACATTTTTGATTGGCCTGACCGACTTTGAATACAGATTTCTAGAATTGTTAGAATCTGTTCCGACTGTTTCGCAATGTTTTCAATTTACTTTAACTTTTGCCAAGAGATTGCGCACAAATATGAGAAATTTTTGTTATAAAGTGGATTCCTCGAAGCAGCTTAAAATGGCTCAACAATTGAATTCAATTTGCCGGCACCCCTAACATTTTTGCAGGGGCGACGTCGATAAGTCAATTTCCATATCGAGTCGATCGAAGGAAAAGCAATTAAATGGCCAGTGATGTGGGAAAATGTTCTTTAAATTGAAAATCATAATTATTCATGACGAGGCCGCCGTAGAGAAGTAGAGAAACGACTATACTGGCTGAATGCTGTTTGGCGAGCTCTTAAATATAAAACATTTAACGCGCTCCTTTGTTGATGGCTCGGCTCATTCGCTTCATTTGTTGGCTGTTTGTTGGTTGTTGCCGCATAAAGCCTGGATGGATATGGAAGTATGGTCTCGTATCCGTCGAGCCCATTGTGAGCGGTTTTTCCATCATATTGGCTCTTTTTTGTTTTCCCCGCCCCGCCGCCTGCTCTTGCACTTTCCCATCCATTGAAGTAATGAAGTTCTCTTCTGGCAAGCGGATCGTTCCGTTCCGTTCCGCTACGCTCTTGTTTTTATTCGGTTTCATATCCTTTTTATCGAAGCGCGTTAAATTTTATTGCAATTGTTATGCGCTCACATCTTCGGTGCGATGCCACGCGATGCGATGTGCTGCGTTGTGGTGGCGTTTTATATTTAATAAATTTAAATCACTTTATATGCGAGTTTTATGTGCGTTAATAATGCGAGTCGGGGAACTGCATTTCAACATTCATTCACCCCCCGGTTTTTTATGTACAAAGAGCAGAAATTTCAAAAGCAATTTATTCCGCACAGTATACCCGATACAATATGGACATAAACTAGTCGGCGTTTATGTGCGATGTGCAGGATATTAATGATGAGTTTGGTATCCGTTTTAAATAAGTCAGGAGGATCAGGACTCGAAGAGCAGGCCATCCGCCATTTAAATGGGTAACGCTCGAAATTAGTGAATTTGCATTTATTTATGATAGTAATTGCAAGGCTGTGCGTTTCAGGCGGCCCAACTTTATACACTTAAACGTGGCCAGTGCTGAGAGCTCTTAAATGTTTGCTCTATTTTAATGTGTGTATTGCTGAATATCTAAAAATATAAATTTCCAATATATTTATCCCCATTTTCTGGTCCATTCCAACAGCTTACTCATTCAATTTCAGCTACGCAGAGCGTAAGAAGAACTCATTTCGAAATACATACGAGTGTATGCTACATCTGGCTGAAATTGTTGCACACTCGAGTGTGTGGGGGTTTTTGAAAAAAAGAAGACTGCAACTGCATAACTTTGTCTGTTTTGACCGCACCATCCAACGGCTGCTCTCTTGGCCAACTTGAAGCGAAGTTTGTGCAGTTTTCGCCACATTTTTTTATTATTATTTTGCTGGGGGTCCTTCCGTGCACTTTGGATGTCAACACATCGACATAACGACACATTCGTCCAATTTACACACAGGCGAGGGAACTCGAGAAAGGACTCCGGCGGCAGACAAGCAGCAAACTTGAACTTTTGCGGCCAGCCAGATGTTGAGACTTACATTTACATTTTCCACAGATATTCGCACATACATATATGTATGTCGCAATATATATGTACATATATATGCGTCGCTTTATATATACATCAAAGCGCCCACGACCACAACATTTTTGGCAACCGCGCGCACTCCTCGCACTCTAATTACACGTTGGGCCGAAGGGAAAGGAAAAGCCGGAAAATGGCGGGGCTGGCGGGTAACTCAAACCGAAAACTCGGCTTGAGCATGCGTTGTGGTTTTTCATTTGCATTCGCTTGGCGGAACTTGGTCCCGGAGTTTTAAGTGAATGAAATTTCTTGGCCAGGCCACTTCTTTCTTGCAGCCGAGTATAATTAAATTGGGCACAAGTACCAGCTCCGTGTACTGCATACTATGTGCCATATCTACTTCTATATTTTATTTATGATTTCTTCGGGCTCTGCCCTTTGGCCCTTGTCACTGGCCCTCGAGAATGCCCGGTCTGCGATAATTCCAGCAGGCGGAATTCTCCGTTCACGGTTTAGTGAGCAACAACAATTTTGCTGCCATGAATGCATTTTGCAAGCAGCATTTCCCATCCGCCCCGTTGGCCCGCTTGTTTTGGGTTTTGGGTTTTCTTCAGCTAAACTTTCGGGGGGGAAAATCATTTATCAATGTCAGAGAATGCAGAACATTCTCTCTCCGCACGAGAGAACTTGTGTATGGCGGCAGATTGCGACGGCCTAGCCTCTGATATTGGGTGGTTGGGTGGTTGGGTGGTTCTGTGGATCGGCCTTCTCGAGTAGGCGGTGGCTTGTGGGTGGTGCCGTGCCTGCAAGTGCGTGAAACAAGTTGGCGAAACTTCTGACTTTGTTTCGCAAAATACTCAAGTGATTTTGAAAATTATGCACACGCATTAATGCATCGCCCAAGCAGACATGTTCGAAACTTTTTATCAAAATTGCAGTCCACGAGAAACAAGCAGCGAACATAAAAGTTCATCACACTCGTATCGGTTGCGAAAAACTTTGCCATTCTTTATGGCATATAGAACAACACAGAAATTGTAGCTATTTAGACTGCAGAAATCATTTCGAAACTAACCAAGTACCATATACCATCAAAATGGCAACGGAATGCTAAAGGACTCTGTTCTATGCATATGGAAAGCCAAGTAATTGAGGGGCATCAAATTGGTTCTGGGATTCAAACAATATCCGGCTGGCCCTCTTCGAATGAAGGCGTGCCTTTGTCTTTGGCTTATGGCAGAAACTTTAGCACTTAGTGCCAGGACTCCCCTTTGGAAGCCCACTCCCGCTCCAAAGCGGTCGAGCGAGTGTTCTAATCCTCTGGCCGCCACTTGTTTGCTGGCGAAACAAGTTTGCACTCAAAACTCGTAAATAATGGATGGAAAAAAGCGCAACCGCACCATTCATAATGGAAAAAGTTGCCCGGCCACTTGAAACTATTGCACAAGCCCCTAGCTGGCCGAGCTGGAAAGGATTCAGATGGGCTCGGCACAACCAGCCCGTCCTCCTCCACGGATGCATTACAGTGCCGGGATGCTGGGGATGCTGGAGATGCAGGAGGTGCAGTGCCTGCCGCCGGCGTTATTGTCATGTGTACAGTAAAAATAACAAATAACAAACAGCAACCAGCAAGCAGCAAGCAGAGCGAAAAAGACTGCCAAGGAGAAGGTCCGTCGTCAGAGGTGCTGTCCCCACTGTTTTCACGCCAAATTTGGTTGACTAAAAAGTTTTGGAGCAGATATGGAAATAGAGCTGCCAGTTCACAATAAAAATATACATAAACTTTAACTATTTTATTATTAAATGTTTGAATATCTAGATTTAACTTGTTTCTACATTCTCTGAACAATTAAGGAAATAGTTTAACAGCCAAATTTAAGCTGAGTTCTGAACTCCGATGCATCGATAGCCGGGCACCACTGGCTGGGTTATTGCAATGCCCGTGGTGGCTGTGGCCTTGGTGCGGTTTCCAGGATTCGGGAGCGGCAACGGAAGTGGAGGCGGACTGGGTGCCGTGGTGCACACCATCAAGATGGCCAACAACGCCCACAGCTTGTTTGGAAGCCAAGGTTATAGTCACATTTTTAATATGCTGTCTGTTCCGGTACTGGACGTTGTTTATGATGCGCATATCCCATGGCATTTCGTGCCATTCCATACGTATAGGTGTGCATGCCGGCCGTTTTGTGCCATAAATTTAACACTGTCCTCGACTTTAAATTCCGCAGGATGTGCGGAGAGAAAGTCACCCACCGAGCTTTAACTTTAAATTTGCCTTATGGACTGTGTGAAATATGGTTCACTTCCCCCGAATGGAGGTAATAAATTGAGATATTTATGAACTCATCTGCTATAATTTAATTATGTTTTTAGCTGCCGGGCGAGCAGGGCATACGAGCACTCCCAGAATTTCGTTACAGAATAGTACCACCAATCGTATTGATTTCCATGTGCGTCTGGCCTTACCTTCGCTTCATTTACTTTCCGTTTCGAACTTGAAAGGCATACGGAAATGTGCGGCAGCCAAAGAATGAGAATTATTGCAATATTTTCACTTTACTGTGCATCCTGTGCGGATTTAATTCGACTTCATTTATGTTGCAGCATGTTCTGCACACATCGCCAATGCCATAGGCCGTTCCAGAGCGGGCTGGAATCGCCACCCCCAAAAACTCGTAAACTCGTGATTTCTTGTGGGCAACAAGCCGGCGAAAACCGATAACCGAACGACGACGTGGCGTCCACCACGCGATTCGAGTGCAGCACGCAGACTAACCTCCACCAGCAGCGGCAGCAGCGAGTGACCCGAACGAACACGACGTACTTGGATTTGTTTGTCACTTCATGTTGAGTCTGTATGTAAAATATTTTTATCCGTGTACGACTCGCTGGAGTACCGTTCGGGTTCGGCTGTGGTGACTTTAGACAACGCACTGCGCAGACGCGCGCTTATCCGCTGTTATTGTGCAGAGTCTCATAGCAGCTGCTACCGCAATTCTCTTTTAACATTTGCTCTCTCCAACAAATTGAGCAATGTTATGTTAGCGCTGCGTTTCAATTGCAGTTTTTATCCGCTTTCATAACAGAAAGTCCCCTCTTGCTATAATTCTGTTAATATCATGTTTTTTTTTTAATTATTTTATGGTCGCAGCGAACAGCATATCAAATGTATTTTAAACATAAAATTATATATAAAAGAGAGGTTTTTTATAAAATATATTCCTATAAATATGCATATCAGAACAGCCTTGTGGCATAAGCCACAATACAGTAACTAGTAGGAATAATTTATGCCATCCTAAAAATATCTTTAAATTGCGGATTAAGCACATTTAAGAGAAGTTTCGGCTTCCTAATAAGCTTTTAAACTTGAATAAAGGTTTATTCGCTTTAAGACCGCACCGCACATTAGCATAATTTATAAATCTGGATTACAAACTAGTTCCCAGCGTGTGGTTAATCCAGCCCACATAATCTCCATCCTCACGCAATTGTAAAGTTGAGGGAACAATGAAAAAGATAATGCGAATGCCAAATTGGATTCAATTAAATTAATTTGCATTTGTGGCATTTTAATGGGCACACTCGCATATGCAGCTCGCAGCCTGAGGAAGACGGAAATGAAGTTTGATAAGTAAGTGCCCCAAATTATATGAAACCCAATTAGTCTGGCAAAAAAACCAAACTGAAACTGCCATTTCAGATGCCGACAGTCGTCAGTGCTGCTCGCCTGGCATTTGCGTTTTCAATTTTCCCGCATCCTGAGATCTATTATCCTTGGGTTTTACATAATGCAACAGCTGGCAACTGGAAACTGAACCATCCCAAACATCCAACCACCCAACTCATCCGATCCGACTAACCCAAAGCGCTGGCTCTTATGAAGTTCAACAAATTATTGTGAATGGGTTTATTTTTTTGTTTCTTCGGGGTTGATTTGTATGCAGCGCTAAAAGCTTGAAAAATGTTTTACCCGCACGTGTTTCCTGCGCTTTGATAGAAAAACTCTCACACACCCGCAGACACACATTCGAGACACATTATATAAATAAAATGGGAAAGGAAAAGCACAACAATGAAATGCCAGCCAGGCTAGTGGGTGGTGGGTGGTGGTTTGGGGTTGGTATCTGGTATCTGGTATCTGGTGGGTGGCTGCCAGCGACAGTCACATTACAATCTCGGGCGTTGCGGCAAGTGGACGGAGGATTGAAGGACCCTCATCCCCTAGAAGGTGACATTTTTAGAGCGAGAGCAAGGAATTGGGGCAATTTTTATACTTGCTTGCGAGAGTATTATGAAGCTAAAAACGTAAATTGAAATGGGGATAGTGAGGGGCCATTCTGACCAAGGTCAAGTTACCGCAAAGTCGCCAAATATTGATGTTACAGAGTTTTTTTAAAAGGAATGGATGCGATATTTGTAAAAAGCCAAGGTGACTGATTTGATGTTATTATTATTTTGGTACTTACTCGAAATATGCTAATAAATCTTATAATAGAGTAACTTACAGAACATCCAGCATTCGTTGTTCGACGTCCTGCACTATAAAATGCCATTGTTGTGGAAAAGATTTGACGTCTAGGGGGGCCATTACAACTCTAATGAACGACTGGGCCAGGCCATAGCCAACTGATTTTTATGTAAGCATTCGCATTTGGACTGGGACCCCAGATCCCGTCACTCCCATGTGAAGGGCATGGACCATTCCCAGATCCATGCTTCCAACGCTCCTTAGCGGCTTACTGGTAACTTCGCAGATTTCCCCGGCTGGCTGACGGGCTGCATTTGCTCCAAATTGAATCCTGCGAGAATGCGCGAGACAAACATCTAAATTGTCAACGTAATGCGACAAAATATTGAAGTCAGCAGGTAAAGCCACCTGACACATCCTGGCCATCCCAGTATCCCAGTTTCCCCGTATCCCTGTATCCCTGTATCCCAATCCCAGTGCGACTCAATCCAGTTGGCGGCGGATCCGGATTGGGAACGGGAACGAGAACGAGAACGGGAACTGCCAGGCACGAATTCAATTTCGCGTCCACAGATGCCATTCACCTTCGGCACGTACGACTATCAACGTCAACAAGTTACCGGCGGGCGGATGAAGGCGCAGGATGGGTGGTGGTGGCAGGTGGGTGAACGGGAGAAACGATGAATGGGCGGCGTCTCCAATAGGGGCGTGGCAAACTAAAGTGGAAAACAGCAGTCAGACAATACAATTGCTTCCTTGACTGCAGCTGAGAGGCGACGACTTCCCGAGACATCTCCGTTGTCCTGGCCAACGCTCCCAGTGCTCCTGACATTTTATACTGAATTATTTATTTAGTTTTTCCTCCGTTTTCCGCCCGCCCTCTTCCATTTCCCACGCCCTCATTATTCTCCTCTTTGTCCGTGTAGACTTTGCCATTTTTATGGCCCCGTGACGGGTAAACAAGGTTGAAATTTAAGCCGTATCACTGCCACCGGTCCAGTGGCATACCCAGCATACCCAGTAATTAAGTGCATATACCCGATCCGGATCCGACCTTCCAAACATCTTTGATTACCTCTGAGATTCTGGCACAATGGGGTTCCAACGGGGTCTGCCAAAATTAAATATGACTGTGAAATATTTTCAATTTGTGGACACGAAAAAAGTTTTGTTCGCCAAGATGCCCGGGCTACATATACATTTTGTTACTTCTCCGGTTTACCCGTGGGAAATTTGCTAACGGAAAATAAAAGTTTCTGGTCAAGTGAGTGCAAAAGTTTTAAGTGACGCACTTTTTCACCCCAAAACCACCCACTACTTTCCGCTTATTCCTTGTGGTCCTGGCAGAGTTGGGAGATTACTTTTGTCGTTCGAATTTGGCAGAGTGGAATTTTATTAGGCCTGACTTATGGGCCATGTGTACTACATTTATATTTGTACATGTGTCCCCAACAAATTCGAGTGGCTCTTGATTAAATTCCTCGTCTGGGATTGGAGTTGGAAAAGAACATTAGGCTGGGAAATGATTGCATATGGGATCGGGATTGGCTCATAATTCAAAAATGCTTGGGGGTAATAAAAATACTTTGAAACATTTGGTAGAGCTCCTAGCTATTTGAACAAATAATATTAATTGTTATCATTAAAAATTTGTGTAAAAATGTATACGTTTTTAATCAGGGCAGTAGGTTTTTCAACACATATGCACCTTTTAAGAACCATTTTGAAAATTCAAGCAGATATAGCCACAAATTGTGGAACGGAATGATTCCTTTTGGCCTTGCTAATAATAAGGCCACAAGCTATTCCATGCACAAAACCTGGTTTTCCTCTCAAATTGAATCCGAATTCGAGTGCATTTTTTCATGGTCGCAATCTCAGTTTGCCGAGAAAGATGGATCTTCGAGTGCTGTGGGCCAGTGGCACGTCGACGAGACGATTCCGGGCCATAAACAAATTCGTAATTGCCATGTAATGCCTTGTGTTGACAGGACTCGACAACTAGATAAGGTCCTGGGCTCAGCCAGATGAATGGGGGAGACTGGGGGCAAATGGGTATGGGGCTGGGGCTGGAATTAGCATAAAACTTCAATTTCGCTTTCACACACTGCGTCGTCGGATGCAGAAATAGGGGAAAACCATATTTTCCAGCAAGCCAACAAATCGCAATAGATTGCCAACTATAAAACAAAGGCCTGAAATATGGGATTGGGTATAAAACAGGGTGGAGAGTTTGGGATTGCCAACCGCACACATGACCCAATACGGAACACTCTGCATTAATTAGTAATTTATTTCAACTTTCTGAGCTCGGCTTTGCCGCACACAATGCTTTCTGTAAGTATGGACAAGCGAGCCTCGTACGTGGAGTGTAAATGAACTTTTGTTCATTTGACTAATTCAATTTCGAAAGTTCTGTCCGTTCAAATTTTATGAATATTTAAAAACTTCCCCCACTATGCCGAAAATGATTCGTTGCCCGGGGCTGTGTGGGAAGACAAAGCCTCCTTCAAATTGGGAATTCATCAAAAAAGTTGAACAGTTCGCAAAGTGGATAAAATATTCATGCATGCAAGTTTCTATTAGTCCTAAAAGTTGGATTGGCTAATAATTCACTAAAAACCAATTAGCATTTCCCATCTCCTCCTCCGAACAAAACTTAAACAGCACTTGCAAAAGCGCTTAGATTGAGTTTGGAAGGTAAGAATTTTGTCATAATAGCTTTGCCCAGTAAGGAGATACATACGAGTATATACTACAATTTTTTGTAAAATATACTGTAAAAAATATATAGTAAAATGAATGCTGTCTACACTATCAAACGATGACAATGAAATATCCAGGTTTCTTGGTCCTTTCTCCCAGGACCTGCGTGGGTTAACACCTTCAACTGGAATACCTTCTGGATATCGTGTGGGTCGCAATGGAGTGCTCCTCGAATTCCTTCACGTGGCTTCCGAGGGTCCTGCAGACGGTGGTGAAGAGCAGGCACTTCCTGCAAATGAAACTCGACGTGACCATGTCCTGCGAGGCCTCGAAGGCGTCTGTGTGATGGGTTTTCTTGAAGGCCCTGACCAACTTGGTTTCTGTTTCGTCCATGGGCTGCGAAAAGGGAATTTCGCGCGGCCTCATCGATTCCCAGATTTGTTTGGCCTCCATTAGGTCTAGTAATTGGTTAGCATTATGCAATAGTTTGTATCTATACGGTTTTCTATGCACTCACCTCAGTCTTAGTTTCTGTATATAAATGACAAGTCATCTTGGCCAGACTAGAGATGGATTAGCCAAAAGTGTTTAGGGTTAAGTAACCAGGTGTTGTGCTAGTTCTAGTATTGGAAAAGTAAGGGCACACTGCTGACATAAAAATGTAATCTACATGCAGCAATGCTGATGGAATTCTAAGCCAAGCTGACTAATTTAAGGGGCAAAAAGAGTACACGGGAAGTGGTGGTAATCCAGGCGGCTCATAAATATTTATAAGCGACTGCTACAGTTGTTATATGCTAATTTGGGCCAGAAGTGGCGGCACAGTTACATCTTGAGCATCTGCTGGTGCGGTAAATAATATTTACATGGCCCGGCATTTGCATAGCTAACGACAAAAACTGCTTCTAGCTGCCACCAGTACCAGTACCAGGACCAGGACATGCACATCCAGATCTCGATCCCCATACAGATCCTTGCCATATCCGGCGAGTAACCCCGAGCAGTACCAACACCAGTTTACACAAATTAATGCGAACTCGCACGTGTTAATTCAAGGATGTGCGGCTGTATCAGCCCACTCCCAGTTTTATCCTAGTCGCCATGAATTTGCATATTAGAAAAAGTTTTCTGCTTGTGAAATGTCAGTTTAATATGCGTGAAGTAGTTCTACTGCCTCCTTCGCCTCCACAGCCACATCCACATCCACATCCACATCTACATCCTGCCTCATCCTTTTCGGCTTGTAAAATGCGCTCAAGAAAAACGAAGATAAAACTTTGCGCAATCTAACTTTCAGCTCAACCCACTGCCACCAACTCGTGGGCGGCATAAATAATTAGGGTTACACACTTATAGGAGCTGTGACAAAGTGAAACTGCTGCCGAGAGAATGTGTGTTTCATAATTAAATCATTGAGCATTTAAATAGTTTCCAGCTCCGCAGATTCTTTTGGGAAAATAAACTATGATATACACATACAACAATCGGCATATTCTAAAACTATTTTAAACTAAATGCTCATCCGCTAGTTCGCTTGGAACTCCTTTCAGCAAACATGAACTGTATGAGAATGACCAGATAAGTGACCACAGCTGCAAACATCTAAATGGCATTTTAGTTAGTTGCTTTTTCGCTCAGTGCAGTTCGATGTACTTACGCTACTGAGCAGATGCAGATTGAGACTGAAGAAATCCTTGGCGGTCACCACAAATCGCTGATGCAGTGTTTGCAGCGAAAACTCGCTTACCAAGTCATTGTATCTTTTGCTGCCCTGGGGTTTCACCAACTTCGAAATCAGACAACCGATTTGACGGCCCTGAAAAGACGGATACGATATGTTTACAGGACAGATACAGAGCTTTACAGAGCTATCCACAGGCTGCTCACTAGATTATAGCTTTGTTGGCAGTGCCAGCAAGCAGCTGCCATTTGCAGTGCCACATTGAAAATAAACCCCAAGTTTAGCAAGACGGCAAATATCCTTGGGGGTCTTGTTCTGATATCGACGAAAAGCCAGTAGGAGTTGGAAACAAAGAGTGCAAAGTAAACAATGATGATGGTCAGAAGGCTGCCCCCAAAACTTCCATTAATCCGAACGAACAGATGATGCAGGTCATTATAGCGTCTTTTCAGATCCTTGACTCGCTGGGTCTGCTGGTCGAAAAACTGCGGCTGTTGCTTCCTCTGTGGCCAGCGACTGGACAATTCTCTGGCCAGGATCTGCAGCTGCAGCTTGGTCTGGCGAACTCGAATGTTCACCTTCATGACCTCCAGGATAAAGGATATGATCTGCACCTGCAGAGCGAGGAAACTTGGCAGCGTTTTCAGGTGGTACATCCAAGTACGAAAGGGATATTCAGGCGCGTTGGAGCACACCAAATACTCGACGCTCAAAATGGGAACCAGCATCGCCAGTACAGTGAAGGCTACACAGGGATCGGAGTCCTCAAGCACAATCACTTCGTCCAACTGGTCCTGCTGCACTCTGAAGCCATTGAGGAACGTGGCAGCCACAATGAAGGCATGTGAGACCGTCTGGAAAAATGTGAGCACATGCCGCAGTGTGCAGTCCAAAGGGCAGTCCAGCGCTTGGGCAAATATCACACTCTGGGTCCATATGATACAATACCAGGTCAGCCAAATCAGAAAGCGTAACCACAGGGTCAAACGCGACTGTCTATTTGATCTCAAGGAAAATGCCACCAAAATGAGGTGGAAAACCTTGAGGACCACTCGTGAGATTGCTTGCACTCTTGTCGGTGGAAACATTGTAACTAAATGGGATTTAATTGGATGGAAATTCAGCAGACGTACTTGACAAAACGACAATCCATCATTGTCATCGTTCATTAACTATGATTTGCCAGTAACTTGCACTTAGCACAGTCATGCCTGATTGATTGTACTCAAATTCACAAGGCTGATTAGTAATGAGGCCTTGTAAGGGTGGTCAGCAGTGAATTTAAAGGTTCATTTAGGTTTCCCCTGGATTATACTTACATTTTCCGCGCCTGAATCGCCGTGCCAAAATAGCGTGGCAATTGGAGTGCCAAAGTCGATTCCCGTGACTCCGTTGAAGATCAGGGCACGGACACTTCCGCCACCGTAGAAGCCCATGATCATCCAGTAAACATTGGATACGAACTGCAAGCTGGTCAGCAAGTGCAGTCCCACCATTCCCCATCCATAGCAGTCGCTGAAGGTTTCGTAGCACTCGAAGATCCTCTCGTAGGTGGTGCGCAGGGTCTGGAGTTGAAGGCACTCTTGTACTCCGTAGGGCTGCCATAGCTCATTACCGGAAGCCAGGGACAACAGGGATCGGCGCAACTGGGTGGATCTCTGGTTCAGATCCATGACGTGCTGCACCAGTTGAACATAGCGATACCGAAGTAGCCACATCATTGGTAGGGATATGCTAAACACGGGCGACACAGTCTCCCCATAATTGGTCACAAGTCTCACAAGATCGCAAGTAAACTGTACTCCTATTAGTGGCAACAGGTATGCCGCGTGCTGAGATCTGCCGAACATTCCAAGTCTTTGGAGGTGCAGCTCGGTCTGGACGCGCAGGTCCTCCAGCTGGCTGTGGGTCTTCTGCTTCAGGACACTCTCCAGCAGGAGCGCGAATCCCAGCACGGAGTTTCCCACGAACAGCATGGTGCCCACTGCATTTCCCACACTTTCGATGGCCACCCATGAAAAGTTGATGGCAACCTCCAGCAAATATATAAAGTAAGCTATCCAGCAGCAGCGAAGCGCCAATGATAAAAGCAGCCATCTCAATTGCGAAATTGGAGGAAGTGGCACCAAGCCCAGTACGGAAAAGATAACTTCCAGGCAACGGCGGGTCAGGCACTCCAGAGTCTTCATGTTGGCTTTATGAACTGAAACTGAACTTACCATTGTTTTCCTCCTTAACAATCAGCTAGTTAATTGGATCATGACTACACATATTTCTTTTACTCACAGTACTTTACACTTGACATTGACATATGACATGTCGAAATAAAATGTAATTACAACTTATATCTTTAGCACTTAATTTTGATAAATGGTGAATTACTAAAGTCCTTCTTCGCAAACGCTCCTATTGTCACTTATCAAAAACTGCAGAAATGTTATGGCATTGATGATGAGGTAAACGTAGATTTCGAAGACGAGGTCGCGATCGCAAATGATTTTTCTGTTCCAGATAAAATTCCGAAAGGGCAGAGCTTGCTGCTGCAGTAGAAGAACTTGATGCTGAGGGGGAAAATATGAGTAAATAAGCCGAATGTGTTGCTTACGCCAAGCTTACCTTGCAGCTGATAAGTCTGGCAAACTTTTGCAGGACTAAATGATCCTCCCGCATGTGAAGGAGCTGCACCAGAAGGACATTTTGGGAGAGCTGAGTCTCGAATTGGCTCAACCGATCGTTGGCTATTCCCACAAGCAAGACCGCAAGAAGTGGATGTAAGCAGGTACCCAGTTTCTTAAAAACTAACATGTAAATTCGATCGATCATTGGTTTTTCAGACAAGGCAAACAAGCAGTAAAACGTGTAGGTACTTTCATGAGCGGTATAGTAAATACTTATAAACAGCATGGACGAGGTCCTTAGCCAAGCCCTGGTTATCCGGAAGTGAATGATGCCCATTTCCCTGTAGATATCGAAGACGATTATCAACTTGCGGCCCAACTCGGCACTGAGTTGTCCACAGTCTTTCACATTTTGAATATAGGAATTTAAGAAAGTATTTATGGCTTGTAGCCAGCTTAAGAGAACTAGTTGATACAGGAAGTAGCAGCAGTAGTATAGCTCAAATATGATAACATTCAGTGTGGGAAATCGAACTTTGATTATCACTTTGTCGTGAGGCGTATATTGCGCCACTATATGATGCAGGGTAAGTAAAACTTTGATCAGAAAAGTAATTACCAGCGACCCATCAAAACGTATGTGTTTATCTGCAAAAGATCTCCTAACTACGCGATCCATCTGGAGAACTCTATTCCCTACAGATACGAACATCGAGTTGTAGGTTGAACTATGGCTTAATAGCAGCAGCCAGAAGGTAGATATGGTGGCCATGGCTACTTGGGATACCAAGTGCACACAGTAGTAGATACCATTCTCCGCCAAGTTTTCTGAATCTCCTTTCATGAAGTAATAGGTAAGTCCGAAGCATACGAAAAGAATGGGAATTTCCAGGCAAAGTAGAGCGGCCTTCATGCACATGGTGAAAACTATCCATTGCCAGCAGGGTTGATGTTTCCTCAGTTTTCCAGTTTCTTGAACATATCGAAAGGAGCCGAAATTGAAAAAACAACAGATGCCGTACACACATAGGTAAGCACCCTTAATGAAATGTTTATAAATATGCTTTTTTGGGCTGTGACTATTGGTCGGCATTCTCTAAACAACTGAATACGGGAAACTGAGAGGCATAGGTTTAGATATCGCGCATACGCACTGTTAGCTGCAATAATTGGGCTAATTAACACATTAATAAATGTATAAAGCCCACAGGCAATCGATTAATGTAAATGCAAATTAGCTAGATGCATTTGTGAATATATTTCGAAATAATCGGGGGATTAGAGCTGGCGCGCATTTTCCATTAACTAAATTATGGCAAAAAGTGCTGGCATTTTTTTGTATCTTCCCATGTGTCATTTTCCCTATTTATTTGGTCACGTTCCAGACAAAAATCCATAATTGGCACTAAGCAATTTCTTCTGTGCAAAGCGAGTCATTTGCTATGCGCAATATGTGACATCGGAAAGTTGTTCCAATTTAATTTGACTTTGATCGCCAGCTGACGCAAATGTCGGCCATGATGACATGTCCCCCATCGTTATCCGGATATAACCCTCACACAGCAGGCGAGAATCAGCAACATTGTAGGGCAAACATGTCTCATTTTGTTTATGGATTTCCATCAGGACAAGCTGTGACCGAACGGCCAGCAAATGCCATGTTATTGTAATTTAAATCGTTGATTTTTATGAAAGTTTTATTAACAAATGAACGGTTTTTATCAACGCATCGACACTCTGGTTTATTTGCGCGAAAACTTTTCGCGTTTTATGGCCAGAAAAACACTGGTTCGCCTCATAAAGATTAGTGATTCATATTTTTATATCTCGCGTCTTCGAACCGAGTCTTTAAAATTGGAATACTTATGAGGGCGAAAAGGAGCACAAGTTTTGTATCGCGTCCATAGACGACAGTGATGGGCTTCTGTGTTTTATTGCCGAAGGAGTCGAGCAGAAGCCGAGAACTTCATAAATCACAGAAGTTTGTTTTCGGCCATGAAAAGGCTTACGGGGGTTTATCAAAATGAAAATTTATTGGCGCTTGGAATTTTAGATTTATGTATTTCCACCCTCCGATTCCCAAAAGTACGCATTCCATTGACATGGGGTTAGCATACTTTGAGCAGTATATTCCGAAATATTCTGCGGATTTGTCGGATCTCGGCCAGCTTTAAGAAAATGCGAAATCGCGAAATGCATAATGCATTCACAATTCGGGCTATGTATTGATTGAATAAACCCCTTTGTGTTTGCAGAGGCGAACCAATCCTTTGTCGTCCTGGCAAATGAAATATTTACATGTGCGGAGAAACCGTATACGCAATAATTCGTTTGCAGTTTCATTTTTCCAAGCAAACACATTTGCGGGCTGGGAAGCCGCAGTTTCTGGACTCGGATTAATTTTCATTTAAATTCAAGTTGGTTAAATATGCAAAAAGTCCTTCGGTGCGGCACAGGACGTGTGTGTGTGTGTGTGTGTGCGGCTAGTTAACGAACCAGTTTGCCACTTTGAGTAGTTATTAAAATTGCAAAAGTCCATTTGCGACACCTTTTGGAGAGTGAAATCTTTGCGGTCAACCACAGACACAAAATGGAAGTGGGCAGCAGTTCTGGCGACATTGGTTCACACTGCTATTAAATTCTTACGAGCGTGTAGTCCTTTTCGTCCTCGGCGCTCTTTCGTTCCGATTCCAATACGGTTTCCGTCCTTATGCAGTTTATGCTCACTTATAAATGCGAAAACAGTTACTGCGGACTCTTGACTCCCAGGAAACTTGTCTAATCTTCAAAGGCAGCCGCAACCCTTTTACGTTGGATAATTTTTTTAGCTTTGGCTTTGAAGCAAAAAGTCCCCGGGCAAGAATGCATAATTCATAATCCACAGCCCGCTCGTCTCCTTTCTTAAACTTTGATGGTTCAACTTTTTAATCGGATTCCCCGGATTCCCCTGCTCGATTGCCACCACATCTTCGCATCGTATCGGTAGTTTTTCCACCCATTTTCTCTGCTCGCTTTTTCCGAGCATATTTTTGGCCAAATTGCGCCTGGGGCCCTCGAAGTTCGCCTACCTCAGCTGAACATAGATAAATTGCGTATTATTTTGCTCTTCCATCGAAATTTCTTCTCGTTCAATTTCGATATCCCCTGGCACATTAGAGTTTCTTATGTGCGCATGCGATTACTTTTTTCAGCTTGTTGTGAAGGGACATTAAAATGGCAAAGATTTCAACCAACTGATATTGCAAGATGTGTGCACATCTAATGAACAAAGTTTTGCTGCAGACTTTGAAATGAGAATGAAGTATCTACAAGAAGTCCCTCTAAATCAATTTAAACGAGATAGAATGCTATAGTCGACTACCAGGTACCCGTTACTCAGCTTACTTTGGACGTGCAAACGAGAAATTTCAACATTTTCTGGAATATCAATAGAAATTGGGAAAAAAATAATAAAATGAAAAAACAAAAAT